GATCATAAATAACAGTCTATCATAAATAGTTACAAAATACCAACGAGTTTGTTTTGAGATTACGGTATTAACACAATTTAAAGAGCATCTAACTGCATAATAAACCAACTGATTATGGCTAAAGTTGAGCAAAAGCAAAGATGTGCTCATTTATAGCAGATAAATAAGTTTTTCCTCAACTTTTTGCCTTGACCAAAAAAAAAAAAAAAATAAAAAATAAAAAATAAAAAAAAAAATAAAAAAAAATAAAATAAACAAATATAAAAGAAATAGAAATCGTTTAACAACCTTCTTCCAGTGTTTGTGAGGAAGGTTAAAATTTCCCGCCAAAGTTCGAAATTGTTTGATAACAACCGATAGATGGCGCCATTTGACTGGGATCGAAAATCTGACCAAAAATTCTTATAATAATAATAATAATAAGAGACGAAATATGTGAACGCTGAGATAACTCGATTTTAGGCTGAGCTCATCTTCTCATTTGTAATGTGTGCCTTGATGTTTTTCCAACAAATGGAGGATCCTACAGTTCATTCTAAGCTGCCTCCGCACGGCTGAAGAACTTTTATGGAAAGCTTTTAATTTCATGTCCGAAATACACTCGGAGGGCTTAACATTCCCTACCGAGGGCTCACCATAATCACAAGAGTCAATTTTCTAAAATTTGGATATACCAGGGCTCGAACTCTGCCCTACCGTAAAATTGTGTAGTAAAATATTGCATTTATATTTAAATTCACAAGGTATAAAGTCTGCTCAAAAATTGAGGTTAGAATATACTCGCCAGCGGTACGGTTTACATAAGTACTTTGTAGCGCCAGTGGAGTTTAATTTTAATTTGAAGTAAAGTAGTCCACGCATTACTCGTCAACTCTTTTTTGGCGTAGTTCAGGAGAACCTTCACATTCAGTTTTGAAATTATCTCTATTCAACCAATAAACGAAACGTCTGAGACAAGTTCTATAAAAGGCGGTACAAAAAAAAAACTGCGGAGTTGCTCTTAATTCCCTACTCAAACCTGCCTTCCTATCTGTCCTACATCTGCCACTGTTACCATTTGGCACGTATATGCCGCCAGTATGCCCTGATCTGTCTGAAATGGCATAGAAGTTCTTTCGAGATCGCTTAAACAAAAGATACTTCCCTGTCATTAGGCGTAATCTAGGAGATTAGGCATGTCATATTAGTCAATCTAACTTACAGTAATTTTTCTTTCAGCTCTTTCGAAAGTTGCCCTATTTGCATATAGTTCTTAGCAGTTTTCTCATTGATATATCGGTTCCGTAGCCAGACGATTGAAACTTTTTGCAATCTCTTCAACTATTTTTCTTATGGCGCGGAAGCCATAGATACGCAGTAGCTTCTCTGCAACCACATTTTCCGCAGCCTCGCTGCTTCTGAGAAGTTTTTTTTTGACTTGATACAATGTGTGATTATTGCTGTAATTGCCGTCTGACTGGCAATATACAGTAGTTTGATGTTTGCCATGTAGTTTCCTATGCTGTGGTCTTCCTCATCTCCTGGGAAATACTACAGTAATCTGGAAGCTTGAAGAATAGATTGAGATCTAGCTCATCGCAATAGTTTCCGGTGCTCTCTCCATCGGCCATTTTTGATCTGGTAGTGCCCTCCTGATGAACTTTTTCTTTTCAAGCCCTCGCAGCCGTTGAACTTGCCGACAGGTTTTTAGTCGTCAGTCAGCAATTTTGTCATACACTTCTCGGCATTCTATACGATTGTTGATGTGCTGGAGCATCGTCATATATAACTTATCTAGTAGCCTCAAATTAAAGAAATTTTTCTATTCATTCCTACCGGGAATTCTTATGGAACCGAATTTGTTTGGACAATAAGTAGAGATGACATAGTCCAACTGCTTTGGAAAGTGTTCAAAGGACAATATCTGGACGTGCGTTGTTATGCGATACCTCAAACTTGAGCTGAGTCTAAAAGTGTTGCAGGTGTAGGGTTTGTGGTGGAGTTATCGAAATTCTCTCTTACTCACTTTATGAATATTTTATTTCTTCCATTCCCAATTTTGTATTTCTTCTAAAAAACTTTAATCTCAAAAATTCAAAATATTTTTAATAATTCTAACAATCAAGTTAAGACAAAAATTTTGATTGTTATTAACCAGTAAATTTGTATCAAAGGTTATTTAAAGAAACCCTCACATTTAAACCGACATTCGCTGACCTTTAACCGTTATTAACATTAATTTTTAGTGCCACTAATGCAAAGTGAAGGGTATTTTTGATTAAAAAAGAAATTCATTAGCTCGACAAGGTTGAAGAAAAGTAGCTGTTGCTGCGCTTGCTAAGAAAGCCTAATAATCTCCGTTGATTTTGTAGAGTTAAGAAACGCGCGTTGATATTTTAATCGTAAATGCAATCTTGATATGTTTGCGCTTCTAATAGTTGATGTGACATTGTGTGTTTTACGTCCGAATGATTGATAAGTTGACAAGCAGTTTCAAGGAATTCTTTACGAGGCACATTTATGTAGCTAATAAAGAGAATAATTAAAAAATAAACAGAAAATCGGCAAGCAAAATAAGAAAAAATCCTAACTTGAGTTAAGCTTGAGAATAAGTAGAAAAAAATTTAATTACCTAATAAAAATGGAGTTTAGAACACCGGTATGAATGGAATTGAAACAATACGTGTTCAAACAGCCAGATTGGACGACTGAAAGTAATGCGAAAGCTTTTTGTTTAAGCAAAATCCAAGCATGCTACAGTAAATGTGCATAAGGAACAGTTGAGAGTGGAACACAACAACTAAAAAACAATCAGTTTTAACCAAGAATGACTCGCTTATTATACAAAAGTCAATATTTACATGAAAAAACATTGGTATTAGCAAAAAAGGGTTATTTATGAACGAAACGAAGTGAAAATGAAACAGCAATTAGCCAAAATAAAATAAAGTAAATATAAATATTTGCAACGAAAATAAGGAAAATACTTCAATCTTGAGTTAAGCTTGAGAATTAGTTGAAAAAAATTTAATTAACACTTAAAAGTGGAATTAGGAACATCGGTATGAATGGAATTGAAACAATACGTGTTCAAACTGCCAGATTGGACGACTGAAAGAAATGCGAAAGCTTTTTATTTCAGCAAATCCAAGCATGCTACAGTAAATGTGCATAAGGAACAGTTGAGAGTGGAACACAACAACTAAAAAACAATCAGTTTTAACCAAGAATGACTCGCTTATTATACAAAAGTCAAGCAAAATAAGAAAAAATCCTAACTCTTGAGTTAAGCTTGAGAATAAGTTAAAAAAAATTTAATTACCTAATAAAAATGGAATTTAGAACACCGGTATGAATGGAATTGAAACAATACGTGCTCAAACTGCCTGATTGGACGACTGAAAGTAATGGGAAAGCTTTTTATTTAAGCAAATGCAAGCATGCTACAGTAAATTTCCATAAGAAACAGTTGAGAGTGGAACACAACAACTTAAGAGCAATCAGTTTCAACCAAGAATGACTCATTTAATGTACGAAAGTCAATATTTATATGAAAAAACTTCGGTATTAGCAAAAAAGGGTAATTTATGAACGAAACGAAGTGAAAATGAAACAACAGTTACTCAAAATAAAATAAAATAAATGTAAAATACTAAACAAAAATTTATAAATTAATTGCTACCACTTTTTAAATGCTAATTAAAAAAAAGAACTTTTAAAAATTGTCAAAAGTATAACCTCAAAAAGACTAGAGAAGAAGTAAAAATGAAACAAACGTTAAACCTTTTCAATGTATATTTTGGTTTGAACTCTATTTGAGAAAAATAATGAATAGGAATAGATTAATAAAAACGTTCGTATTCAATTAAAACATTGACACACAACATTGAAACAATTGAAAATGAAACACAGTATTTTAATGCCTGTTTTTGGTTCCCATGTCTGCCCTCTGAGATATATGTAGAAAAGGTGTCAGCGGAATGACAGAAAACAGAACACAATCGAGAGGAAATGGAACACGAAAGTGCAAGCTGCCAGAGAATAACAGTTCTTATCAAAATTATGTAAGAATTTAATTAAATATTGGAACATTATTGTTATATGGAACAATGGAAACTTTTCAAATGAAACAACGTGAAAATGAAACAGCGTTTATTAAATAAATTAAGTCAATAAAATTAAATGTTTATTTATGAAAAACCAGCAAACTATTGAAAGATATATAAAAATGACCACAGAGCAAAGGACCGAAACAAATGAAAATGAAACATTTAGCATATAATATTTTGGTTACATACCCCTCATGTGTTTATACTGTTTTCAAATATGAAAACAATATTAACAAAAAACTAACGAAATTATTGGAAATAATACCGTATTTGAAAAAGAAACAAATGGAAATGGAACACTGAAATTTAATATGGTAGAAAATATGTGTTTTTTTGAACTAAATATGCATTTAATTATATGCTTAATAATTCACGGACGTTTTTGGTTAAAAACAGGAACGCATGGGATTGAAACAGGAAATAAAAATTTTATAATGATTGGGCTTAAATTTGAAGTGTTGCCAGCAGATTTTCAAATAAAAAGAAAAGTACGTAAGAGGTTTAGATCATAAGTTAAAAGTTTAAAGTGGAATTGAAACACAGAAGAATTAAGAAACAATAAGTAATGAAAACTTTACCTTTAATTAAAAAAGTACAAACCATGAGTGGGGGTTGGTTTATGTGAAAAAATTATGAGATTGCATATTAAAAGCGATATTTGAGATAGTGAAACGACTGGAATTGGAGCATAACTTATGACAATTAACAAAAAAATGAATGAGTGATGTGAGAATGAGATGATGTGCTGTATGAAAATATAAAAAATATTGATATTTCGCAAGCCTTTGCGCCATAAATGCTTGTAATTCTCAGACGTGTTAATTAATTTTCGGCAAACACTTGCGAATTTTTTCGAACTTGAATTTATACAAATATGTTTTAATTAACTTTTTCCGCATTTTTTCCTTGCAGATCACGACAAACCGAACATGTCCGATACATTAAGCCGCGTCAAGCTGCAATTACGCCCTGTCAACGGCAGTGTGCTCAACGGCAATGGCATTGGCAATGGTGGTGACGAAAAGACACCGTCTTCACCCGCCACTAAACTGCTCATCAATCATGGCAAACCGAACTACACGATACAACGCTCACCGAAGGCACAACAAAATGGCGGCACGAACCCGTTAAATGGTGAATTGCAGAATAACAATCGCAATAACTATTATCCCTACAAAAGTGCTGGCGTCAAGGGCAACACTGGCATTTTTACAAATGGCAACACCGCCTACAAAACAAATGGCAATGCCGTGAACAATAACAATAACAATAACAACAGCAGTAACAGCAGTCAAAGTGGTGACGAAATTGTTATACAAAGCACCAAATTTAACGGTGTTTTCAAACCAGCCAACTTACAGCATTTGGAGAGTAAAGATGAAATAGACAATCCGGTTGTGCTGAGGCGTGTACCGAAAGTGGAAGCCACTCCAGCGGCCACCGAAAATGGCAATGATGAGAATGTGCCCGAGTTCATACTACGACAGCGTCGCATACAGGAACGTCTGGCTAAGGAGAATATTTTGGATTTCGAAAGTCGTCGCAGTGGCTACTTCACGCACGTCGTCATCTCGCCAACATCGCCGAATCGCACCTCGTTGGTAGAGACCATGTCGAGTCCACCAATTGTGCCTGCTTTGGAGATACCACCACCGGCTAAGGAGTCGAGAGAGGCCTCCATTGTTGAGGAGAACAGCGGTGAAGTGAGCGAGGCTAATGGTGAGGTGGTGCCAGCCCGCGAAGCACACGAGGAGCAAAGTGTACCAACCTCGGCTACGAATGGTCAAGTTGAAGAGGAAGAGGTAGCAAAAGCTATTGAAGAGGTTAATAAAGCTGTCGCAGGCGAGGTAGACGATGAGAAAACAGAAGAGGTAGTGGAAGAAGACAAGTCAACTACTGTGGTGCAAGTTGAAGTGGAAGACGCTGCAACAACAACTGCAGCAGTTGAGCACAAAGAGGTAGAACAAGAGAGTGTAGAGCAGGAGAAGGCAGTGCAGCACGAAGTGCATCCGGTGAGGGTTGAAGAAACACACATCGAAGAGGCACACACACCAGTCGTCTCTGTAGTTGTTACTAGCGCAAGCTTGGCTGAAGCTGAAGCACCACAAGAAGCACAGCCGGCTATACCGGTAGTAGTAGAGCCAGCCGCTAACGTGGTAGTGGAATCTCCGCATAAGGAAGAAATTGTGGTTGTGGCACAAGTTGAAGCTGCCACGGAAGTTTCGAAAACCGAGGATGAGCTCAAAGAAAACGGACATGCTGTTGCCGTAGCAGTGCAAGAAACAAACAAAACTAATGGAAACGTAGCGGAAGATGTTACCATCTCGCACACAAATGGCTTGGCCAATGGATATTCAACACCCAACATACCCAACCCCGATCCCAGTGGCGCCTTGGGTGTGAACTACGAACCAAAGACCGTGGTTTCCTTCTCCAAAGATTTAGGCGCACCAAACAAATATCCCGACACCGTTAAAGTTGTGAAAACAAATGAAGCTGACGGTGGTGAAAATAATGCGGTCTCAGAAGCAGCGAGCGATGAGCTGAAGGAATTGGCGAAATTGAAGTTCGACATCAAAGCCGATGATCAGGATGTACAAGTGACGCCGGTATTACGCAGCGACTAAGGCAAAGAACGAAACTATGCGCTGAGAGAGAGGCCAGTAGTGGGAAGGGAAGAGGTGGGAAGAGAGCATTAAGGGGGGAATAAAAAGCAATTAGCAAAAGATGGGGGTTCGTAATTCGTTCATTGTATAGGTATATAGCACAATTGAGAAAAATCGCCTTAAGAAGAAGTAAATAAAAAGTTGACAGTCTTTATAAAGAAGAAAATTATAATGATAACTGCAAATTGATGGTATTAGCAAAAGAAGAAGAAGAAACATGAAATAATTTCCAAATGTGGGATTAGTGCATTATAGCCATAAGTGACGGCAGTCTATTAGCGCACACTGTTCGTTATAAATTAAACAAAAATATTTAACTATTATTATTATTATTATTATTATTTTTATTATTATTATTATTATGTTTATTGTATTAATAAAAAACAAATTGTAATTTTTATTAAATTGTAAAATTATGTACAGTTTTGTTTTATATATTTTAAGTCGAAAAAGTTGCCAAATTCATTTCACATTATTGTAAAATAAATAAAAAAATATATATAAATAAATAAATAAAGAAAATCAATTTATGCGTCGTTAGAGCATTAACAGCGTTGGAACGACTGAAAAAGGAGCACTTTTTATTTACTGTTTTAGTTTTGATTTCCAATAGAAATGACTTGGAAAAAAATATTTTTTCTGAATTGAAACGAAATGGAAATGAAGCGGAACAAATGGAATTGGAACGTTTTCTTAAATGTGTGTAATTGTACTGATTATAGTTAGATGCATATGAGAAAATATCACAAAAAATGGTTGAAATACCAATTTTTTCGTTAGCATATTTCCTGTAAAGAACTTATGAGCAACTAGTGAGTCGCCTAAAATTGAAAAGAATAAGAGAAGTATGCGGAATTAGTACAACCAAAGCTGAAAAAGTATATAAAAAATGATGTTCACTCTTAAAAGTAGAAATTAAATAACAGGAATGAATGGAATCGAAACAGTATTTAATAAAGCTACTAGTAAGACTTATGAAAAGCCATTTAGCAAATATAAAAGATGTATGCAATATAGTGATTGAAACAAATGGAATTTGAAACATTTGCCTACAACGTCTCTAAGTTCTTAGCAGCCAGGAATAGAAATATAAAATCTTAACTCTTCTGTGGTACAAAAAAGAAAATTTCATAATTAAAACAGTTGGAAATGGCACATTATAGCTTCAAAATAAAGAGAATGTAGATCAAAAGCATCTAAGCTAGTTCAAGCACTGCCCATATTTGGTACGAACGCAGGAGCTGATGAAAAATTAGTGTTAGTATTTGGGTCAGTAGAAACTTTATAAACGAAACAAACCGAAAATGAAACAACTATGATTGGATAGGAAAAAAGTATGAGAAAATTAATAAGGTTTTAAGTGAAAGTAAAACTGTTATGATAAAATAGTAGCATAACCAAAAAATTTTATAGAGGAGAAACTGACACAAATGAAAATGGAACAAATTCTACTTAATTATTCTTTTATTTGTTCCAAAACCTCTTCGATGTTCAGTACTAATATAAAATGCAAAGAAATTCCAACAAAGGTTAGCAGCGTCAGGGAAAACTTATTAAAATTTTACGTAAAGATTTGTCTTTTCAATTTCGATAACACTCGTATATCGAAAGATATCGAATTTCAATTTATAAGACAGGGGAACATAGGAGAATGGAGTGGAATGAAATTACAAATTCGGATAAAACAAAAATACATATTTTACCATCCTAATATGCACTTAATAATATTTTTAATACTACAAAATTTTCATCTCACTAAATTTGGAAATTAGGGAAAAATATATTTTTATATAAATCAAAAATTTTCTAAATCCAAAAAAACTCCAATTATAATTTTAGTTTTTTTTAGCAGTTTTGAAGGACTCCAAACCAAATTTTTATATCCCAAAATTGTATCTACATATATTAATTATTTCATATTCAGTGAAATTGAATTATTTTCGGAATATATAATAATTTCAACATAATTGTATATTATATTACAATATTGAGAAAAATATCATTTTCCTATAATTTCGAGGCAACTTTGTTTTTTTCCAATTTATTTCCTGCCCATTACTTCACGTTCCAACGCTAGAATCGACAGTTTTTTAATTTTATATTTTATATTATATAAGATATTTAAATTTATTAAATTTTACTCATTTTGCCTAATACATACTAAAAAACCACGTTTTTTAAATAACAATAACAAAAATTAAAGCGTAAACTAATAACAATAAAAAATAAATAAAAGGGAAGAATTGAAAATAAAAATTATAAAATAAAATAAAAAAAAATAAAATAAAATAAAATAAAATAAAATAAAATAAAATAAAATAAAATAAAATGAAATAGAATAAAATGAAATAGAATAAAATAATGCAAAATAAATATTTAAAAGAAAATAAAAATATTAAAATAAAATTAAATAAAATGAAATATATGAAAATGAAATTAAATAAAAAAATAAAATCAAATAGAGAAACAAGCAATAGAGAGAGTAGTCTACTTCTTGAAAGAAATCATATGTTGAAAAACTGCAGTTAAATATTCTGAAATACTTTGCACATATCGATACATATACTCCTCGCTTTAAAGGAAAAAAATAGATATATATACATATAGTGTATTGCTTATTATAATGCCAAAGCTATATTGTTATATAAAAATATAATAAATAAAGCAAATATTCGAGCATAAAGGACAAAGAAAGATGCAAATTTTTTCTTGTGCAAATTTACTTTTACTTTGATAAAACTTCAATAACAATAATAAATAAATAAATTTTTATTAAAAGCAAATTAATAAAACACAAAAAAATTGCCGAAAAAACCTATCACCTATTGTCACATGCCAAAGGCATTTCCTCTTGATTTGATAATAAAGTTGTGAACTGAAAAAAACAGAAATTTCAACGCCATATCACCGCGTGGCAGAGAGATAAAGAAATTCGTAACAGCCCAACAATGGCCACACAACAATAAATTGTTGTTATGCAACAACGAAAGGGAGGTATTTTTAAACATTTATGCAAACTTTTTGTTTAAAAATATGTTACTAAGGAAAAAATTTCGAAAGAGAGTGTTAACGGTTTAGCTGAATTGAATGGAAATTATTTAATTTATTTCAGAAATGTATTTGCCAAAAACTTTTGAAATAGTTTGGGTATTCATTTATATTACAAAGGTAAATTATTAGGCAAGAAGTTGATTTACATTATTAGGTGCTTTAAAACGTTATTGAGGTTAGGTTTGTGTGAGAGGTATTTATTATATTAAATTAAATAATCCGGTGACACAAATTTCATTAGAAGCATTTGGAAAGAGTTGCATAATAATATGCCCATAAAAACATCGCTTATAACATTTCTAAGCATTTTTGAGGTTAAGTTTGTATGGAAGGTATGCCTTAAAATGCAGCAATTTCAGTCGTTTACGGAGAACTTACTTATACTATGATTTTAAATGTTTGTACAAAATTTGAGAGCGATATATGCATCAATGCAACTTTTATCACATTTTCAGCCGTTTTTGAGGTTAAGTTTGTATGGGAGGTATGCTGAAAAATAAGCCAATAAAATCTATTTTCAGTGTATTTAATTTTTAAATTATTAAAAGTATATGACTAAAATTTTAGAGTCAAGTAATCATCAATATATTTTTATGGCAATTATTGGCGTTTTTGAGGTTAGGCTTGTAGGGGAAGTGTGCATTAAAATAAGCAAATAAAGTTAGATTTCAGAGTGGTTTCGTGTAGGGCTATTTCAAATGTTTGTATAAAATTTTGAGAGATATATTTGCTTGGCTATGGCTTATAAGACATTTTTAAATGTTTTTGAGGTTAGATTTGTATGGGAGGTATGCTTAAAAATTATTGCTCTATATATATTTTTTCAGATTATTTACTTTCAATGCTATTTTAAATATATGAACACGATTTAGGAGTGATATATGCGTCAGAGCGGTTTTGATAAAATTTTTAAGCGTTTTTGAGGTTACATTTGTATGGGAGGTAGGCTTAAAAATTACGTAATCACGATTATTACCAAAGTGTTTACTTTTAGTGTTATAATATGTGCATAGCAAAAATTTGAGAGTAATATATGCATCAGTACACTTTTTATAGCATTTTATGGCGTTTTTGAATTTAAATTTGTATGGGCGGTAGGTTTTAAAATCATTTAATTGCGCTGATTTTTGGTGTGCTCTGTTGTTTTATAATTTTAAGCACATGGACCAAGTTTCACTGTACAATTTACATATCATGTTGCTTGTGTTAAGTGTTTTTGAGATTAACTAAATTACTCAGATTTTAAGAAGTTTCCATTTTAATGTTATTTTAATTATTTTTCTACAATTTCTGTGCAGCAGTAATTATTATTTCCTATTTATTTAAAATCCGAGTCATGTGCTGAAATTCAAGAGAAAAATAAATAGCTAAATACATAAATAAAAAAGAATATCTACTCAACATGTGACCATGATTACTTTTGACAAATGAAAATCTATTTGAAGCACGTTCGTTTGGTAATTATGTGATTGGCAGGACATTGATGAATGTTATCAAAATAATTCTGTTTATTAAAAATCACATTGCAAGGCCGAAAACCAATTAAATCGGTTGGTAAAATTAAAAAAAAAAAAATATTTAATTAGGCATTTTTTTGTAACCTGTGACAATAATCGCTCTAAAATCCTCAATAGGCCTACGTAGCATGTGCTCATTGGAAATATAACATTTCATTTGTCGTCGCAGGTGATTTCCATGCAACGTTATCGGGTGTTCAAACAGCAGACGAACCATTCAGGGAAACTCATTAAGTTATATAAATATTTTTTTTATTTTTATTTTTTTATTTTAATAATTTTTTGTTAATTTTTTGCATTTTTTTATGTGTGTGTTGCAGTTTATTTATTTTTAATTTCCTAATATTGAGATTTGTTTTTTTCTTTGGTGTTTTTGTTTGCTTTAAAATGTGGGTGTGTGCGAAAACATGTGAGCAACGGTAATTAACGAATGCGGAAAAATATTGAAATTTAAAGAACTGCTTGTCGCGACAAAATATAAAAGCGACAGTTTAAAATATTAGTTGATTGATTGATTGAGAGATTTTTTTCTTTTTACAAATGAATTTAGTACAAAAATAAGAAATATTGGTATTTTTTTTTTTTTGGTAATTTGAACTAAATATTGGGTAATTTAATATTTTTATAGGAGTTATTAGTGACGAGAGAACTCCGCCATTGAGTAATTACTGAAATATTTATTTGCTCTTGTGTTTGCTTAAAAAAATATTTTTAATATTTGAATACAGAAACACGATTTTTAAATAATTTCTTTCGAAAAATACCTTTTTTTTTACTAAATTAATTTAAATAATTTTAGAGTTATTTGTAAAACAAGTTTGAGAAAACTGGCCAAAAAATTAAATTCTGATTTTTACATAATTTTTGAATAATTTAGGTCATAATTTTTTTTCAAAAACTTAGCTTATTTCAAAATTCCTCCATATGAAAAACGACTCGTTAACGGTCAATTATTGGTTGAAGTGCTGCAGAGTCATCCTTAAAAAGACATTTGTTTCTTTGAATAAAAAAATATTGTTTTTGTGATTTAGATCTCAGTTGAATAATTATTTATAAGAATGCTAAATCGTATTTCCTTAGCGCCTAACATTTCTGACTAATATATAAATATTTTTTGTTTCTCATTTTTAATTTGGTTTGTGTGTCATAATTTGAATTTACTTTGTTCCTTTTTTTTGTAATAGAGACCCATAACAATTTAACAACTAATCAGTAGTACTTAATTTGTCACAATTTCGAAATGCATAGAATAGAAAAAGATTTAACGGCATGCTGACATTACCACTAAACTTCAGAATATATGTATGTATATACATAAGTATTATTATTTAATTTTTGACCTTATCTTGAAATTTCTAAAAATCAGAGATCCGATTTTTTTCGAATTACAAATGATTTTTATAACATTTATTGTATTTAAAATAAAAGAAATACACATTCATACATATTTTCACAAAATGTTAAACTGCTTTTTGTATTTCTGCAGATTTATTATTTTTGAAATAATTTTTTCCGATAATATTTTATTTTTATAATTTTCTTTTAAACACTTTTTTTCCAATATTTTTTCTTTTAAATACTATTTTTAATATTTTTTCATTTCATAATTTTTTTTTAATAATTTCTTCATTTAAATTTTTTTTATATTAAGGTTTTTTTTTAATATCTTTTTCTTATTTAAATACATTTTTTTAAAGTTTTTTTTAATTTTTACTTTCAAATATTTTTTTAATAAATTTTTTTAATTTCTCTTTAATATTTATTTGGATATTTTTTCTTTTCAAATTTTATAGAAGGTTTTTTCTCTTATAATTTTTTAAATATATCTTTTGAAATGCCTTAATAACAGTCTTAATTTTTTTTAGTTTTTTTAATTTTAATATTTTTATTTTTAATATTTGGCTTAAATAAATAAAATATATCTTTGAATACATTTTTTTATATTTGCTTTTAATATCATTTTTACCTTTTGTTGTTTAATATTTTTTAAATTAAAATTTTTTTTTAAATATTTCTTCTCTTAATATTTTTATAAATATATATTTTTTGAATAGTTCTTTTCAGTGTTTTTTTTTCTTTTAATACTTTGTTATAATTTTGTTCTTTAATATATATTTAATAGATTTTTAAATTTCTATCTGTCTTTTTTTATTATATTTTTTAGATATTTTTTCTGCTAATTTTTTTTAAATATATATTTTTAATTTTTTTTTTAATTTTTTTTTATATAGTATTTTTTTCTTTCGAAAAAATTTTAATAATATTTTTTAAATACTTTTTTTTTCATTAATTGTTTTTGCGGCCATACTATATTAATTTTTGTTATAACGACATTCTCCGAAACTGCTGTCACTTCTACCATTTTTCTTTGTTGTAAAAAAAATATTCAATTCATACAAACAAACTAGGCCTTTAGTTTATTTAATATATTTTATAAATTTCTGTTTTTAATTTTTTTAATATTATTTTGAAAACATTATTTAAATATTTTTTCTTCTATGTTTTTTTGAAATACATATTTTTTAATATTTTTTTTCTTAATATATTTTTCACTAATTTAAAAATATAACATTTTTTGAAAAGTTTTCTTTTTTGATATTATTATATTATCCAAATTTTTGCATATTTTTTTCATAAAAATTTTTAATTCCCTTATTATTTTTATAATTACATATTTAATTATTTTTTTCATATTTTTGCTTTAAATGGTTTTGAAATTATTTTCTTTTTTTAATTTGTTTACTTTTTGATTGATCGTCATCATTTTTGGTTCGTTTCGCTTTGGGGTTTTCCGTTAGTAACGGCAATTTTTTCGCTTTGTTAAATGCGTGTGTTGCAAGCTTGTTGAGACGACAATTAAGATAACGGTAACTATCTAATGTCGTTTAAACAATTTTTTAATCTCTACTAGCGGAAATTCATTCAATAAAATTTGTAAATATTTTAGCGCTTCATAATCGCTGAAGCGAATTTCGGCCGAGCTCCTCCTCTAATGGAGGGACCAACAGTTTATACTTAGCCGCGTTCGTATGGAAGATGGTTTTTTTATGACGGTAGCGCAATTAGAAAAATGGTTTTTTAATTATTTATTTAAATTAATTTTCTATAAATTCTTGAACTTGAACCCGAACCTTCCGAATGACATTACGCAATGCCAACCACTCGGCTACCGCGGTCGCGATAATTTATTATATAATTAATATACAAAGAGGTAAGGTTGGGTTACAACTAACTGATCTAGTGGGCTCCACTTAGACGGTAAAAAAAAATATATTAGAAAATATTAATTTACACTCAGACCCTCGTTCTTGAACTACTTGTTTTGCTGAACCATTGGCATTGGCTTTCTCTCTGTCATGATTGTGTTAATGCAGAGGAATGTTGTCATATCAACAGTCATCTTCAGCATCAAGTCGGACAAGTCGTGACTTGCTCGGGTATTTTGGATTTTATTATTAATTTCCCAGGGGATCATTTTCCGAAACGACTTTTCATCTTAAGATCCTTAGCAAGGTATTATAAGTTTTATTTGGTCCTTTGGGGCAAGTTCTGTTTTGATCATTCTCAGCGTATATGTTGTTATCTCCAATTTGATTACGGCAAGAGATGCTCTCCGCCTATGTTATTCTTATGGACTGGAAACCCAGATGAACCATCTTACTATTGTGAGCGACATTGGAGTATAACCCAGTTGTCCGAGATGGATGGTTGCTGTTAAGTCTCGTATTTATTCATTACTGCTTGTCCTTGGTTCTTTTCTTTGGTACTTCCACTTGGAAAATGTTAACTGAGTTTGTTAGTGCTGAAGAGGAGATAAGGTATTGAGGTCTGTGGATCCAGAAGGTTATTCTAAGCCGCTTCAAAATAAAATACCTTTTTTTACGGCGCTTATGTTAAATAAGTTTTTTTTAGACCTATTAAGTAGGTCCTCAGTTTTTGAACTGTTTTACTTGGGCCAAATCTACTTCGTATTCAGTAAGAGAAGCGGACCAAAATGGAATAGGTACACCTTAAAAAAAGAGGACATGCCCAATGTACTAAGACATTCAAAGAGACTAGGAGGTCCACATAGCAAATGTTGCAGAAGCTGAAAGGATGATGATAATGAGGAAGAAACGATCATCCATCTTTTAAGCGATTGTTCTGCCCGGCTAGTGGTAGCTTTATATCAAAGATAGCTAACTTTAAGGTCATTGATCTAACGAGGTTCATTAGAGGATCGAAATTGGTTGCTTAGCGAAGCCTAGTCCGGCCTAAGTGCAATGGATAGATCAATATCCACTATAATCTAACCCAACTTAACTTGTCGTGATCGTTCTTCGAATTTTAGACTCTCATTTGGGCTCATTGTGCTTGTTTTTCCATGGGACTAAGTTTTTAGAGCCGACCACAGCGCTTAACTCAGTTACCTCTAGCTTGCTTTTCCCTTTCAACAAACACTTTCAGACAGCGAGGAGCTTATTGAAAGCTCGACGCTCGCTCGTAGTCAGAGCTCAGGCTTTTTTTGGGTTGCTTCATAAGCCAAAAGACAAGTGGCTTCACCGAAGCTCTCTCTGCCTCAGCAGTGACTCAAGGCACACCACTGCAGCTTACACAAGGGTTGTTCCCTTTGCCTGGGGTGCTCACAACTTGGTTATATGAGCAGAAAATGAGTTAAACTTGCAACTGCATTTGCATATCCTGAGGCGAACAGGTGGATTTCGATTTAAAAAGTAAGAGTGGTATACACATACACATGCATACACATATAAACATCAAGGTAAATGGCCAATTGCACCACCAAAAGCCAATGGGGTAGGTTTCCCCCGAACTATATATGTAAGCGCATGTGTGTGTGCGTGAGTGCATCGCGCGGTAGGGTTGCTATGAATAAAACAAAACAAAAACAAAATATTTACGCTGACCAGCTGAGACCAACACGTGGCAGGCGTTTAATCAATATTATTAAACAAAAACAATGTCATAGTGCAAACCAGCAGCGGATGGGCAGAAAGCCGGGTTGTTTGGTCAGGGGTTGTTGTTGCGAGTCACCAAAACACACGCCAACGAGTAACTAGCCAACTTGGCCAAAACAAAACGAAGCAGGACACCTGCCCAGACGCGTAGTGCGAGCCAAGCGTAAGTGTAGTGTGTGTCAGCTAGCCGGGCGGACACTTTTAGTAGAAAAGAAATCCAAAAAATTTGGAAACACAGATTTTGTTGTCAGAAAAGTTGAAAAAAGTTTGAAAAATAGCATTCGAAATCCTCAAATTCGGAATAATATCAAATTAAAATTCTAAAAAATCGCAAAAACCAGTCGCTTTTGCATGTGTTTGGAGCGCGTAGTATGGATTTATGCCTGCGAGGGTCGCAGGTGAGTACGGCGGCAGTTGAAAGAGCAACTTTTTTCTAGTTAAATATTGAAAATTCAATTCCACACAGATAAATTTGGTTGAACGTCAGAAACCGCGCCCCAAATACAACTCCCAAACGAATTTATATCAACCGTCGAGCGCCAGTCAGCTGCACAGTGGCTACAACGTGCGTGTACGTCCACGTTCGGCACAGTTTTTCGGCAAACGTAGCCGCTCCTCACCATTTCTCAATCGACCACAATCGGCCGAGCTCAGTCAGTTCGCTGTTGGCACAACTGGCGGCGCTGCCGGACAGCTTACGGGCGGCAACAATTGTGTTTCCTACTGTGGACGTGGCGGCGAGTACGTGGCTGATAAGTTTGGCAGGAATGTAAGTTCGCTGCGTAATTATGTAAGCCTCACGAGGAGACTTATAGCTATTATGCCATTTTATTTCGTATTTCAGAAGCGTTATCAATCGATTTCCTCTTCAAGTCTGTTGAAACTGTTGCTGGACGAGCCCATCAAACGCTCTTGGTTGTGTCGTGGCGGTGTCTCTTCACCAGAAACCCAGTCTGAGCAGAGCAGTGCACGTAAAAACTCACTCGCCTACTACGATTATTGTAAAGGCACGCGTACAGAACTGGTGGGTGCGACTAGTGTACGCTTGGACAAATTTCGCAAGCAGCAGACAGCAAGTGGAGAGAGTAATAGATTTAATATGAGGTAGGTGGGTTTATAAAAGCTGAACTTACTACGTAACTAAATTTTCTTTGTGTACACCTCCAGCGCTTCGACATCGCGTCTCTCCAGCGGCACTTCCGCCTCAAGTTATGCACGTGACAAATCAGCCGGCTCTACAGCATCCACCTCATCTTTGCGCGCGACAGATTACTGGCAAACGAACACTATATCACCACACACTGCAATGCTGCAAAAGCAAGCCAAACCCGATCTTCCGGGACGTGTGTCCTTCTCAAAACCCAATACGGACTTACGAAATGAGCCAGAACTGAATTTAAGTGATGGCGAACAGGAAAAACATATGCCTTATGAGCGCATAACCAGTAGTCCACCCACTGAAGTTGCCATCTCCGCACCAGGACCAGCAACACCGCCGGCTGCAGCTGGTTTTAAAAGCAAACCCGAGTTCGCTGCACCAAAATCCGTATATAACGAACTACCCAGCTCGGCGGGTGCTAAGAAGTCTGTGCATTTTGGCGCATCTGCCGGTGGTGAGGGCATACTCGCCGAGACTTATGAATATCCCAAATGCCCTTCAGAGAATTGCTCGTGTAGTACACGTAGCTCGTCCACGGCGAGCAGTACACAGGACATCGCAATGGAGGGAAAGTGTGCTTGTGTCGCGTCGACTTGTAAATTCAGCGCTGAGCAGTTGGTGCGTCGTTCGATCCTAAGCGATATGGAATTTATGGTGAAGGAGGATGCGCCGCAGAAGTCACCATCCAACGAGGAGCTCAAGGTAATACGTGACTACAAGAGCGTTGTTGGCGATCAACTCGAGAACTCCGTGGTTAAGCAGATACTTGAAGAAGACAAAGCGAAATTTGGTTCTTATGAAAACTCAAATAATGCACTAGACTTGCCAACGTACTTGGATAAATATGTTTCGCCCACAAAGCCGAGTGTATACAACGTTAAACCGAACAACCTGATCGAAGCCAACTCTTCGACAAACTATAAGAATGGCAGCAAAAAACAGCTAGTACCCAGCGCCGGCAACGAGATAAATAAGACGGAAAACAATTTAGAGAATAACTTAAAAATGCAGAGTCCATACACAGCCACCAGTGATACGGTCATCAATAATTATCTTAAGGTAGCGGCCACAACGCCACTTATGACCAAAAAGAAGGAGAACAATCGACCAAACTCAGGCGAGAAGCAGTTGAGAAATAATAGTAAGAGACCGCCGGTGGCAGCGTCGAATAATCAGCACACGATAAGCAAAACGAGCGGCAATGCAAAGTTAAAGAAAGCAACGAGCTTTGGCAGTCTGCGTGAAGACTCCAATTTGACTGAGTTCAATCTGGATAAAGTGGACAGTTGGATGTCTATGCATGGGGGAGGAAGCATGCATGAGCGTAAAACCTTGTCGAAACACAAGTCACTCGATGCGGATTTCGAGAAGTTGGCGGGGGATGAAGGCGTGCATGAGCAGGCAGACCTGCTAGCCGAGCGCGAAGCAGATGAGCAAGCGGATAGCGTGTCGCAAGTATCTACGAAGTCGGAGGGCGAATCTACATATGATGAAATCGTTTCGGTAATTAAAGAGATTGATGAGGATAAAAAGAAAGGTAAAATTTCTCTTTGTAATATACGGAGAGCCTTAGAACTGCCTTCCTCTCTTACAGATAACTACGCTGAGCGTGCGGTTAATGAGCTGGAGCTCAAACTAAACTCGACAACAGATACTGTGGCACTGCCTTCAGCACGTAGTGAGAAAATCGCGGAGGCTGAGACTGAGTCGCCGGACAAGTACAAGTGAGTTTGAGTTATTGAAACTGACCTTTGAGGCTATTGAAATCAAGCCTTCACTTTCATTTCCTACAGAGACATACTAACTTACTTGGATACTGTGGAAGACAGCTGTGATCGCACACTGCTCGAAACACGGCGCTCTATACCCGAATCTAATCGCTCCGAAATGGAGTTTGTCGTAGAACCCGATATTGCCGAGGATGTGCCCAAGTGAGTTCAATCTCTCAAATTATTAAATACCTACTTTAAATATGTTTTCATTTTCTTCCTGTCTCTTTCCTCTTTGGCTCTCTCTCTCTCTCTGTTGATATCTTGTACGCTCTCTTCCATACTAATTTTAACTCCCACCTCCTGTAGATTAGCCGATCTACTCATGCTGCCCAATCATCAGCTTGCGCGTCGCATCATCGCTTTGAGCTTACGCGCCAACGAACTCGCCAATGCTGTTTATCTCTCCAAAGAGCATGTGATGAAAGTACGCACGGAGAAACAAAAATCTATACGCACTGAGAAGGCGAATGCGGCGAATCGTATGCGTGAGCAGAAGAAACATTATGAGACGATTGTGAAGCGACATCAGGGTTTCATAGAACAGGTAAACTTTCGGTTAGTTGAAAAGAGCTTTCACCACATCCGAAAAACTTTCGCTTTAGCTACTCAAAGACAAGGGTTCGCTTTGTGAGAAAGTCGCGGCACTCACACGCCGGTTAGAGAGTCAAAATCAAGCTTGGGAGCACAAGCTAGAGTCGGAGGTAACGCGCGTTAAAGAAACTACGTTGGCTGGTGAGAAGATTCGACGTGAGCGTTGGGTGCGCGAGAATACGAAGAAAATTAAGGTTTGTGTGTAAAGAGAAATAAAAAGAACGATTTTCTGCGCTCTTTTACATAGCTCTGTATGCTTTTCCACACAGGAGCTCACCGTGAAAGGTCTGGAGGCGGAAATTAATCGAATGACATGCAATCATCAGCGTGAAATAAATGAGCTCAAGCAAGCGCATCAACAACAACTCTTGGACTCACTCGAAGAGGCACGCATCAAGCATGAGCAGATTGAGAATTCCATAAGAGAGTCGTGCGCACAAGATCGCGAGTCGATTATAGAGAAAGAACGTCTGGCGATACGTGAGAGGTAAAGTATTTGGCCGAACTTACATACATATATGTGACACCAACTAATGCACGCTACTTTCGCTAGATTCGAGCGCCAACTGGAGGAGGAGCGCAAGTGTTTCGATGAGCAGCGCCAAAAGCTTATTGAAGACTTCAACGTCGAACGTGCGCGTCTGCAAAATGAGTTGAAAGTGAAAGATGCCAACTTTCAAGTGCGTCGCCAAGAGCTGCAGCATGAGAAGGAAATGGAGTTGGAGCAAACGGTGGCCGAGTTGCAAGAGAAAATGTTTAAACAGGAGGAGAAGTACCAGGTATGTATTAACTCTTTCTCTCTCTTTCCTCTTGTTAGGTATTTCAACAAAACCTTTCTTTAACTCACGCAGAACCGCATAAACACTATCGAGAAACAGTATGAGGCAGACTTTGAGCTATGGAAACGTGACTACGAGAATGAGTGCAAGGTGACGCAGGTGGATAAAGAGAATACAATACGGCAGCACTATCGTGCCGAGCGCGATCGGCAAATCGATGCTATTGTCAGTCGTATGGATGCGGAGGCGCAAAAACATGCCGAGGAGCATGAAATCAGGTTAAGGTAAGCTTGTGAGAGAGAAATTATTGAGTGAAAGTTACAATAGTAAACTTTTTCCACAGTCGCTTGAAAGAGAAATACGAAAAAGACTTGGAATTGGTTGAAAATGCCGAGAGATCACTACGAGAGAAATATGCAGAGACGCGTAGTGCACTAGCGGAGGCCGATGCGCAAGTACGGAACTCGGAAGCGGAGATTAAGCAGCTGAGAATGGAGTTGGAGCACAGCAAGAAGGTGAGCAGGGCGAAAATGATGAAGAAAGGGAGCGGTAAAGAGCGATAGACATAGAGAGAGAGATAAATAGACTGTGAAAGAAACATTTTGATGGAAAAAATGAAAGAGAAAGAGATAGTGAAAGCAACAGTATAAGGGAAAGAGAAATGGAAATGCACATATAGAGAAAGAGAGATGGAAATGTACATATAGAGTAAGAGAGAGAGAGAGGGAGAGAGTGAGAGTGAGAGAATGGCAGGTAAACAGGGAAAGGAAAGATAGAGAGAAACGGAGAAAGAAAGTCAAAGAAAATAGAGATTGATGGTTGGAAAAGCTGACAAATGGCAGAGTTAAAAATAACAAAGAGCAAGGAAAGGCTCTCTTTATACTAATCTAAAGGTAATCCAAAAAAATTTTTTCCTTTTTTTGATTTCCCAGATGTGCAATGACTTTATATCCGAACGCGATCAATTGCGCGATAATTTACGCAATGAAATGCAGAGCGAAGCGGCGGCTATCAAATCGGAGCGCGATAATGAAATACAAAAGATACACAAAAGGTGAGTAACAAACGAAATAAAAATTCCTCGATCAATTCCTTAAAACCTCATACAATTGAACACATGACTAATGTGAGAAATAATGCGCCTAGAGCTATGCTATAGCACTCTGACTTAACCATTTCAAGAGAGCGAATACGTTTGACATTTTCTTACAACAGTGGTGTGCTTTGTGATCTTTCTCAGAATATCGCTAGACACGCATTTACTTTACTTTTCAAAATTTCTGATATTATCTCTTCTTCTTTAAAGGGTCCAACAAGCGATTGAGAAAAAGGATGCCACCATCGATTTATTGCAAAAGGAAAATGGCAGCTTGCGTGAACGTTGTTTGAAGTTGGAGGCGGTTATAAGGCAGCAAAGAAAAGATTATTGTGTGAAGTAATTAATGTTGAATGTGGGTGATTTAATTCCAAAAAAAAAGGCGGAAACAAATATTGAATAAAGTGAAATGTAATGAAGAATGAAATTAGTTATTTTCGTGAGTTTTCTGAATTATGAATAATACTTTTTGAAATAAAGCGAAAAATACATAACATTTTTTAAAAAAGCTTTCGCAACTTTAATTTAATAAAAATACTCAATTTATTCTTCTTCTAAAACTGCTATCAATTTTAACACCTAGAGCATTTAATTATATTATATGAAAAATAAATTTGAATAAAATTATTAAAGATTAGAAAAAAGCATGTTATTTATATTTTCGCAAAATAATTTTTAAAAAGTCCTACTTATAAATAATTTCTTATAAATTTTCAATAAGAGTTTATAAAAATATCAATAAATGCAACACAGGTGTCTGCCTGTATAGCCAAAGTTTGAAAGATTTTTCGTTGCGCCTAAGGGTATACTACATTTTGTTGTGGTATAACTCACACACAGTTGTGGACAAAGTCATTGGGCTAGTTGATGCTTAAAAACAACAATGCCAATATTCTATTTGACTTCATTAACAATACTTATTTTAATTTTTTTTATTTTTAAGCATAATTTTTTTGATGTTGTTTTTAAGATGTTTGTTAGTAAAATATTTTTTCTACCGAAAATAATGTAATTTTGTGATAAATTAAATGCGATTTGTGGAGTAATTTTATTTTTCATTTTGGTGTAAACAACTTTTTAAAATAAATAATACTCAATCTGGTATACGGTGGTGTATTTTTTGATTTTTTTAAAAAAACTATATTTTTCAGCTTCGAGGGTAAGTTTAGCTTAAGAACCGCTATTATTCTTAAGTAATTTAACGAAAAATTCACTGGCTATTACTAAATATTTATTAAGTCTTATAGAATATTATTATGCAAAAATTTTATTATTTGATCAAAATAAAATAGTTTCTAATGAATAAGTCAAAGAAAATGAGAAAAGTGTGAAACAAAACAATGCTCCAACGGCCAGAGGAGGAAGCATTCACTCGAAAAACCACATTATACTACGTGAATTGAGGTAGGACGCCCAAGGGGCCTAAAATATTACCACATGGCCGGTGAACAAATCCTTAGAAAAATTATGAATAATTGATATTCCGTTCTCTAGTGTATTTTAAACACCAAACACACTGTTCCCCATACGATTTTCAGAGTATATTTAAAAACTATTATAGCATACTTTTGGGCGCTCATGTTTGGTTGGTGTTATTTTCTTTATTTGCATACATATTTACCCAAAATATGTCGAAGCATTTCATTTCATTAATTCATTTAAAATTTTATTTTATTTAAAATTTTTATTTTATTTTTAATTTTAACTTTATTTTAATAACAGAAAACGAGCAGAGGGTTTCTAACATTTCCGCATTTATCATCGATAATCTGACATTTCTGAACATATTCGTAGCACCTTAAAAAAGAAATAATAATATTCAAAAATCGTAAATACTTCGTCGCAATAAAACTGATTGAAATCTTAAGGGACGAACGAAAAGTGACGAAATATCACCAAGGCAAAATATTACCCAATTTACATAAGCAAAGGGTGAGTTGTTGCCCTTCACTGTGATATGTAGGTGTGTACATATGTATATATATACAAAGTCTTATCCCCAGTGGGTTTTTAGGTTAAAGTCGGCTGATGATGCAAAAAGAGGGTTGAAACTTACATAAACTACGCGTCAATAAACACTTTCCCTTCACTTGGAAATTAATTCATTGCCATACTTAATGCCACTAGTGTTTGAAACAATGAGAATACTTTCTTCGTGTACATACTCTTTGATACCTTTTTACGCTCTTGCTTCCTATTTCACACCACCAAGGGTATGCAGTGGGTTGTTACTGCTGGCGCCGCACTTACTGTGGCATTATTGTAATTGATGTAAAGCTATTGCTTTATTGCTCTAAAAAACATGCAAACTGCCTCAATGTAAGACTGTTTTATATGTATGAACCCGGTAAGGAATATTTGACCTGAGTGCATAAAAGCTTAGCATAGCAGAATAGGGAGAAATAGAGTAAAAGAGAGAGAAAGCAAGAGAAATAAAGGGAGAGTGAGATAATGAGAGTAGGAAAATAGAAAGAATAAGCGAGAAAAAGAGAGAGAGAGAGAGAGAGAAAATAAATAGAATAAGAAAGAGAGAGAGAGAGAAAATAAATAGAATAAGAAAGAGAGAGAGAGAGTGAGAGAGAGTGAGAGAGAGTGAGAGAGATAGAGAGAGAAAATAAATAGAATAAGAGAGAGAGAGAGAGAGAGAGTGAGAGAGATACCGAGAGAAAATAAATAGAATAAGAGAGAGAGAGAGAGTGAGAGAGAGTGTGCGAGAGAAAGATAGAGAGAGAAAATAAATAGAATAAGAGAGAGAGAGAGAGATAGAGGGAAGAAAAGGTGGAGGGTGAAATAGAGAAAAAAGAGAGAGTAAAAGAGAGTGACAAAATGAGAGAGAAAAAAGTTGGAATAAGAGAGAGACAGAGAAAATAGATAAAATGAGAGAGAGAGAAAGAAAATAGATAGAATAAGAGAGATAGATAGAAAATAGATAGAACAAGAGAGAGAGAGATAATAGATAGAATAAGAAAGTGAGATAGAGAGAGAAAATATAAAGAATAAGAGAGGGATACAGAAAATATATAGAATAAGAGAGATCGAGAGAAAATAGCTAGAACAAGAGAGGGAGAGAAAAGACAACCGATAGAATAAGGGAGATATAAAGAGATAATAGATAGAGTAAGAGGGAGAAAAAAAATAGATTGCATAAGAGAGAGAGAGAGAGAGAGAGAGAGAGAGAGAGAGAGAGAGAGAAAGTGGATAGAATAAGAGAGATAGAGAGAAACAGGGATATTAGGAGAGATAGAGGATAAATAGAGACAGGGAGACGGAGAGGGAGAGTGAAATAAAAATAGAAAGAGAAAAGAGAACTTAAGAGAAAAAGTAAAAGAGAAATGGGGAGAAAAGGTAGGGAGAGGGAAGGGAGAAAACAAAGAAAAATATAGAGAGAGAAAAAGAAAAGAGTAGTAGAAAGAGATAGGTGAAAGAGATAGAAAGAGAAATGTGAGAGAGAGAGAGAGAGAGAGAAAGAATGTAAAATAAATAGCAGGAGAAAAATATCTAAGATTTGATATATATCTTATATATTGGGAGCCTTAATTGCTGAGTGGTTTGTATTGTGTTGTAATATTCGGAGAAGCAGGGTTCGAGTCCTATTCCGAGTAACATACATAAAATTATAGAAAATTCACTTTTCCTATTGTGATCACCCCTCGGCGAGTAATTTCAAGCCATGACATGAAATGAAAGCTCTTCATAAAAATCAGTCGTCTATCGTCGTCTATCAGTCGTCCAGAGGCGGCTGAACATGAACTGTAGGTTCCTCCAACTGTCGCAAAAACATCAAGACGCATGCCACAAATTGAAGAAGGACCTTGGGCGAAAATCATTTCAGCGGTTACAGAATGCCAATTACAATCACAAGGCCTGACGAGGCAAACTTTCCCGCTTTCATTTTGGAAGTATATGTACTTGATGCCTTTCACCGAGAGAGAGCTCCATGAGTTAGTTAAAAACAACAGTACGCTCTTGTGCAGCCATGCTGGAAGGCTAACTGCATCAGTTTCGGAAAGCTTCTAGAAATGAAGTATGAAATTGGCGGCAGCTCACTGTAGGCGGATAGACAGCAATGTGGCATGCTCTGGGTACGAGTTCTGAGATTAGTTGGAAAAAATACTTCTGCGCAGTAAGATTCACCATCTCAGAAATTTCCAATAAACGAAGAATAAAAACCGAGCTGTGTCACCTCACAGATTCCTGGTGGACTGTGAAGCAGAGAAGTTTGTTTGGGGAGCCAACTGAAATTCTTTCGGGAAACTTCATTTGAATATCATACGACTTTAGAGACCGTTTAAGGTAGGCCGTCTAAGTTTGACTGTTTAAGATAGAACGTTTAAGCTGGACCGTCCAAGGTGAACCGTCTAAGGTGGACCGTCCAGGATAGACCGTCTGCTGAAGTTCGCGATGATATAAAGTCATGAGGTCATTGTATTTGACGATGAGCAACTTCCTAAACAAACTCAGAACCAGCTGAATGACCTCAGCACATAACATATTAGTCAAGTATCTGAGGTCAATGCGATGATGCAAACATTCTTTTGTCATTTCCTACCGGGCTTATGTGCTGAGAGCAATAAGCCATGCATGTACATACGCACATATAGACAAACATGCAAATATTCTTATGTATGCGTATCGCGTAATAACATTTAAAATATTTTTTATTTTTGTTTTAACTACGCCAACAAAAATAACAACAACAAAAGTGGAATGCCACTGGCGGTAGACTACCATTCGATTGTTGCTATTTTTATACGCAATATGCATACAAACATACACACATACACACACACATATACATGTAAAGAATAAATATTAAAAATCATTTGCTTGTTCTTCGGCTACTAAAGAGTAGCAAAATCGAGTGCTGCCACTTTTTGTTGCTCTTCTTCTTCTACTACTTCCACTTCCATTTGCTGCTCATTTATAATTCTAATATTTTTATGTCTGCTGTTGGTGTTTTGTTTTTTTTTTGTTTGTTTTTGTTTTTGTTTTTGTTTTCGTTTTTCATTTTTGTCATGACTCACTACTGCGCCGCATTTTAGCCAACAACAAGTTGCCATCCACAATAGCGCAAACCTGTTGCTCACTACGCTTGCCATGTGTGTGTGTGTGTGTGTGTTCAACTTTTCATCTCTCTGATTTTGGATTGTGTTTTTACGCAACATGTTGCTTGCAACATTTTTGTTCTAGGTACAAGGAGTGTTGAGCGTTTTTTGTGGACAGCGTTAGGAGGTGCAAAAAATGGGTTGCAAATACACTTATTTTAACAAAAAAAAAAGGAAATATTTTTTTGAGAATTTTCATCTATATAAGTATTGTTTTTCATGTTGAAAAATAAAATCGAAAATTTAGTGAAAAGTTTAGTGTTTTTTTTTGGAGCTTAAGTACTCAAGGTGGTCATTTGGAAATTTTTTGGTCATAATGTTTGTGCAGTGAACTCAAATTGGCAGCAATTTTTAACTTGTTTTCTATTGCTATTCGATCTTTACGATATTCTGATCTTCTTATAACTGTTTCTATGTTTTTCAATGTATTTATTTATACTTTTTTATTATAAAATTAGAACCTTCTAGCAAATTTCTGCAAACTTCGATACGTTTGAGTTAATTTTCGACCACTTTTTTGGCACATCTTGGGGGAACCTCAACCAAAACTGGACGAATATTTGTTTTCAAGTGCTCAAGAGGCCATGGTTTATTCGCATAAACATGGCTTATCGCGTATTCTCACAAAAAAAGTCTCACGGCATCAAATCTCATGATATCGGTGGCCAATTTATAACGCAAAGGCGAGAGCGCCATATTTGCTCGTGTTGAATGTCATGTGGCACAGCATCTTGTTGAAGTCACATATTGTCCAAATTGGGCAAAAAAGAGGTCGGTTATTATACGACCATAACGCTCCGAATTGAAATTGATAGTCTCGCTTTTCTCAAGAAGTTAGGCTCAATCACACCTCCAGACCAAAGAGCGTAGCAGGCGCTAGGTTCTTTTTTTTGGGTGTAATGGCAACTCTTCAATGCCCAACTCAAAAGGTTTGAAGGTTAGGAACGAGCGGAAGGCATGACAAAGTGATTTTTCAACATAACAATACTTGGCTCTACGTCGCTGTAATGGTCAAAAACTACCTAGAAACGCTAAAAAGGAGGTCTCACTCCACCCGCCGCCTTATCTAGGACTTATTCCTTCTGACTACCTGCTTATAAGATGGTTACAAAATGGAATCAAATCGAAGCTGTTTGGATACAGGGCAGAGAGGACACACTTTAAAGAGATGAGATGGCAATACTTTGAATGATGATGCATTTTTTTTTACTTATTTTCAATATTAAACACTTTTTTGAAGCCAAAAAATTGGACCAAATTAATTTTTACTATTTTTTTAAACTATTATTCAATTATGGTGTTTTTTTTACTGCCGTTTCTTAACGATTCTTGTTACTTGTTTTTTAAATGTTGGTGTTTTTCTTGTTGTTGTTGAAACCGCAAAAATATTCCCCAAAGTACTTTTTGGGTAATGTTGCGGGAGTGACAGTCCTTGGTCGGATAAAAATCCGGGTCGTTCCGGTATAAAGACCCAACTGTCGCGGGGACTATTGGATTTTAGACGCCTCTTACGACAGGCATGCCTTACCGCGGTCAAATTCTTGAACCTCTAACTCGGAGGGGAGTGTTTTTTTCCATGCACTACTATTTATTATTATTATTTTTCAATTTTATTTTATTTTGTTTTGTTTTATTATTTTTATTTAATTTAAAGAAAAAAAATTTATTTTTTTTATTTTTTAATTTTTTTTTAATTATATTTTATTTATGCTTCGTACATACAAAACGAGTTTCTTCCATCGTTTCATTCTTTGCTACCATTTTTTGCGATCTTAAAACAATTTGTTGTTGTTTTCTGTTACAAATACTTCAAATGCTTGCCGGTGAGTCAATATTCCGATTGTTGATCTTTGCACGGCTATTCGATCCGCGACGCTGAATCTTCCTATTTTCTTTTGTTGTTGTTGTGATTTTTGCATTTATTTTTTTCGGTTTCTTTTCGCCAAAGTGTTAATTGGCTCGTTAACAAACTTGAGGTGTAAATTAAACAATAAAAATTGTATTTACACGCCATATTTATATATTATTTATGTATATACTCTATGTACATATCGTGGTTATGGTTACTCCACAGAGGAAAGAATTTTTAAATGCAATTTCCGTTGTGAGAGCAATGATTTCCCGGTTGAGTTCACCCATATTTTAACAGAAAAATTAAATACTTCTTTTTAATATTTTTTTTTTCCACTTGAAAGATTTTTTAGCCAAAACTCAGTTAGAAATAGGTTTAAAATATAATTTATTAAATTCTTTAGAATTTTTTTTTGACATACACTCTCTCCTACTTTCTATTATCATTATTTTCCTTTAGCAACAATATGGACGTTGAAAAATAGACACCGAAACCTCTCCAATTGGTTAAGTAAATTTTATTAGTTAAATTCAATAGTGTGAACACGGCATTAGGTCATCAATCCTTCGCTTGCTTGATCGCTTGATATTCGATAAATTATCGGTAAGCTCTTTTGTTGTCATCACTTCATTTAAATCACAAAAAGCAAACTATTTGACAACTTTCAGGAAAAAAAGAAAAAAAGAAAAAAGAAAATATAGAAAATTGCTTAAAACGCTAAATTATATAAATAATATCACCAAATCTTAGTGGAAATCTTAATTAAAACATTATTTAATTTTTTCCATTGATTTCAAGTGAATTGAAAAATCACGAGAAACCCGAAGAAAGGAAACATTTCACAATATGGCCTATGCTTACTTACGCAACCCCCAGATGGTGAAACACCAGATACCTTATGAAAAGTATTTAGTTGAGATCGGCAAGCGCTTGGGTCCGTGCAACAAGCGTGAATATATGCAAATGGAGCTGATTCTCCCAAGACCACCGATCACACAACCGCCGCCAAATCCGAATAAGAGCGTGCAAGTGAAGGAGGCGGAAATTGATGCCTGCATGAAAATAAAACGACCGGGGAAGGGTAAAAAGGGTAAAAAAGGCAAGAAGGGTAAAAAGAAGAAGTGAATGAATGGAAATGTGAAAGTTAAAGCGATTTAGTTTGTGTTTCTGGTATTTTGTGAGATTTTTGGTGCAAAAATTTTTTTATGGTGAAAATGTTGTTAACCTATGTACATACATAAATATTTTCGTATGCAATGTTTGGCAGAATAAATTAGTGCGTCTAATGAAATTTGAATGAAAGTTTCTGCGGTATCTGAAAGCCTACGCTGTGAGAGAGAACTACCCATGAATTTGCTATGTGATCACCAAAATTAGTTCGATAAATTGTTTGTGGTACAATAGCTCTTTTTCCTCATCTTAATTGATCGATAGATAGAAAAGTTGATCATCACTGCGAAATTGGTTCTCTTGTGTTGGTAAAAACAAAAAATATGAGAAGTGTGATACATTTCAGCTGTTGACCATAACGAGCAGGAAAGACTTGTTCGTCGTGTTCTATTCACCAGCCGAATGCAGAAGTACTGGTTCGATCAGAACGTCAAAGCCGATGGCGCTTTAAAGCCGATAGTCAATAGTCCGAAGTTACAGGGAGCCTGCGCTTTTTTACCACATATAAGGCCACCAAAGCGCAGAACCGCAACAAAATCATCAAAATAGCAGCTGGTGGGAAGGCAAAGAAACTTTATTTTTAACCTAAAATGTTATCAGCTGACAGACGCTTGCTCACTCGCTCGTAGTTTTTGGCTGCGACTACTGAATGTTTTGCCTTGGGGTATCGGCATCTTTTCCACCAATTTCCAAGCCGGGGTTTAAGTAGAGAGAAATGAAGAAGCTAAAAACTTGTTAGCATACCGCCTTGAGAGCCATACCAGGAAAGCTCCTAAAGTTGTCTTTACACCGTTTGTATAGCGACTCCTCCGCATACGCTTTTACCCCTTGCAGACCTCACCTTGCAACATCTTGGAAACACACTTCAGACACTTTGGGAAGAAAGTACTTCAACTAACGGACTTCACCTTGCATCATACTGTGTTCTAGAACCAATGCACGTGACAAGCAGGCCTAAGAAAACCTTCACAGCGAGTCTGTCAACATCTGCCTCAACTCTTTCCCTGTATAATTTGCTCGTAATTCAGTCCACACGCATAAGTGCCTCTCGTGCCTCTATTATTATTGGTAAAACTAGGCTCTAGATACTTTAGTAGACTCAGTTGCCACTAAATGGGTCTCGACCTATACGAATGCATGCATGCAACGAGCTCCCGAACGATACTACTCCTACTCATCTAATAGTCTTTTTTGGCGCAAACTCTATTATAGTTGCTCCTACCAGTTTGGCGCCTTTTCCCATGCTCCCACTGATTCCTCTTGTTTTGTATCATGTTACCCGAATGTGCCACGTTCCTTTTGGTTCAGTATTAAGGCTCTTTGGTTCTGGGAGTCCCGCATCCACTAGCAAGGTAAGTTGGCCAAAGGAAAGTCTCTATTTTTTACCGAAGAATAAAAATATTTTTGTCATCAATGCCTCATCACACTTCAGTTCGGCTCAGCGCACACGAATTCCCTCCATCTATGTAGCTCTTACTTTCTTATGCTTAAGCGCCCGTCAACATGAAGTCAAGAATAAAATTCATAGCAACAAATGCGGGAGCCATTGGGGATACCAAAGCGAATGCGTTCCACAATAAGCAGAATCAAAAAGGCAAAAGCAAAATCAGAAACAAAATAAAGTAAATTGATGGAAAAACAATAAAAACAAAATAATCCGAAAGATGCCGATACGCCAAAGCGAAACGAAAAACCACGAGCGTGCGAGCAAGCGTCTGTCTGCCTTTGCGGCTGTTGGTGTGGATGTTGGGTGCCCAGAAACACACACACGAGGGAATGTTATTGTGGCTGCTGTTGTACTGTTGGTATTTTGTTTTATTGCCTTCGCTGCTGACAGAAGCAGCGTCGACAGCAGCAGCAGCAACTTCTTCAACAGCAGGCGACTGTCTTCAATCGTGTTTACGCTGCCAACGGCTCTGGACGCAATCTGATTAAAACGTACGTGTAGATTTTAAATCAAAAGTGTTTTGAAAAAAAAAAAATTCATAAATAAAAATAAAAATTTAAAAAAAATTTTTTTCTAAAAAGTGAATTTTTTGTGGTAAACATTTTCTCTATTATATTTAATAAAAATAAAAATTAGTGAGTTTGTGAGTAAGTCAATTTACTCTTACAGCAACAAAACAACAACTACACCCTGCAACCTGACCGCCCACACAATAAATTGCGACGAATTTTTGTACCGAGCGAAAGCAAGAAAGCAAAGAGTTAGGCGAAATATATTTTGCATATTTGTGAAATTTTAACTGCAACAACAACAAAAACAAAGGCAATAAGATGTTCAGCTCATTCACAGGTAATGAGTGAAAATTTGACTTTAAGTTTTAGTTTTTACAATTAAAAAAAAAAAATAAAATCACATGAAACAAAAATAAAATATACTAAATTAAACAAAATAAAAAAAAGTAAAGCAAAAAAAAAAAAATAAAAAAAATAAAATAAAATAAAACAAAATAAAATAAAATAAAATAATATAAAATAAAATAAAATAAAATAAAATAAAATAAAATAAAATAAAATAAAATAAAATAAAATAAAATAAAGTAAAATTAAATAAATAATTAAACTAAATTAAATCTACTAAAAAATTTTAATTGAATTGTATAAAAATTATTAAGCTAAATATATTTTTACATATAAAACAAAGTAAAGGCAGCCGGTGTAGACGAGTGATTAGCACTGTGTTCTGACAATTGGGTGGCTCGGGTTCAAATCCTGGTATCACCAATGAACAATAAGAAATTAATTAAAATTTTCTAATTGCAACAGGGATTGTCCACCCTTCTGAGTTCATTTCGGACATGAAATAAAGGCTGCTCATTAGTCATTCGGAAGCGGCTTAGCACAAACTATTGGTCCCACCTCTTGTTGGAAAAACATAAAGAAACAAACCACAAATTACATTATAGAAATGGCTAGGCCGAAAATCGTTTCAGCGCCAATTATATATATTATAAAATAAAATAAATTAAATTTACATAAATGAAATAACATGAAATGGAATGAATAAAATAAAATAAAAGAGTTAATTATAATAAAATAACGAGTTAAAAAAAAAATTAATTTATATGTAATGTTAAAAAAATTAAGATAAAATAAAGAACTAAACTTATTTTAACATTAATAAGTGAAATAAAGTAATAATAAAATTTAAAATTAAAAAAATATAAATAAGATAAAATGTTAAAAGAGCGTTTATTAACTATTAGATTCACAGATCGGTCAATAATAAGGCTGTTATATACGAGACTATATCTTATCTTCAAAATAGTAAAAACTAAAACAAATTGTGTATTCACAGAATTGAAACCTATTTAAATTCCTTTTATATTGTAATTTCTTTGATTGCAGTATTTCAATCAAACTTTCAGCCCCCTATAACCTTTACATTTAAAGTCAATTAAAACATGAAAATAAATTCTCAGAAGAAGAAAGAAACATTTCCTCATACATTTGTTCTTCATATGTAGTTAAATATAGCCAAAGGCCTTAAAAGGTGCTCACTTGCAACTCATGCTCGTGCAACTGTAATCACACCTTAAGCGCCCACTCACTCAACCAACTCTTACACTGTTTGCAACATGGGTCATCGGGGTACTCGTATAACTAACTCTCATTTATTTTTCTTTTATCCGCAAACAAAGTCGCAATTGATTTATCAGTATAACTCGTGTATATTTTAATTTTCCTTGCAGGCAGACAGCACATCGCATACATACATATTTTTCATTCCTGTTATTTATAGGGTAACCATAAAAGTATGTATTTTTATATAAAGTAAAGAAACTATTTCAGTCTTCTACAACGCATTTGCCGGTGGGTTCAATTACTAAACTGTATTTTAATTGGCATTGCTAGCGGCTACAAGTAAATTCAAACAAATTTACCTAATCCCCAACTATACTCGGTGAATGAGCTTACTTGGTATGCCCACACACAAATGCAAATGAATCTTTGTATGTATATATAATATATTGAGATAAAATTTGCATTGGCAGCTTAAGATTAATTTTGCATTTGCATTTGCGTTTCGTGGAGGTGTAAAGCCTGTACGAACTTTTATAAATTTAATTCTAGAAGAGATGCGAACCACAGGCCGATTTACGGGAAACGTGCATAAATTTAAGGATTTTTTACCATAATAATTTTAGTTAATTCTCCGACTTGTCCGTTTTCCTCGATTACCATTTTGCCATTTCGAAAATACTCTGATTTCATTAGTCTATTATAGATACGCTATTCCCTATTGACAAACTCGATTATCGAAAGCTTCTCTTGAGACCAATCATTCGCCATGAGGCAAATAACAAACGGTAATCGCTTGATGTGAGGGCCAGCGTCAGGTCTATAAGCTTCCGGGGCTTCTTGCAACTTACTATCGGTATTTATCCTGATGAAACACAGTTCCCTTCTTGTTGGCCAAAGCTGAGCGCTTCCGGGTGATTGCATCCTATAGACTTTCCAATCCCTGACGGTATATTTTCGAATTAAGAGTTTGGCCATAAAAAAGAAGCTCATGGGACGCTTTTTTAAGCTAATTAAATCTATATTTCAAATAAAATTTTTATACTTAAGCCCTTCTTAATAACTTTTCAAGCACCAAATTCTTCAAAATTTTCTGAAAACTACATAAATAAACTTATTAAATTGTTGAATTTTTTTTTTAAATGTGTGAAATTAAACTTTTCCGTAAAGATTTACAAATCTCAGCAACTTTTAACAATATTTCGAATAAAAACGGTAAACGTATACGATACAAATGCTACACTGTCAATAGAGCTTTATGGTGCACACAATAGTACACGTTTCATTATTTACTAAATGAACCCGTTACAATAATAGTGTTTGCACACTGAAGGACATAATAACAGGATACAAAAGGTAACCAGAAATTCATTTACTGTTAAAAAGATGTAGCAACAACAATTTCAATATCCACGAGTCAACCAAACAACCCCAAAGACGGGAAATCTCGTTGTATAGACGACCACAGACGCATTTGCCTGTAATTTTCCGCTTGACATAAACTTTATTAACCGGCGCATTATTCATCGATGAGGCGAAATCTAGGAGAAAAGGCAACGAATCCGTTATGATACACATATCCACTCGTATTCAGTGATGCAACAAAGATTGATGATAAAAAGTGATTGAATATTAATATATGAGGGAAGTATCATATATATGTATAATATATTATGTGTGTACTTAGAGAATGTGTATATATATGTATAAAAATAATAGTATTATGATTTAAAAATAGCTAATGAGCTGGATATAAATACGATAACATGGATTTACAGAAATATACGAAAATAAATGTTTCTCTAGTATAACTCAGACAAATAATTAAGCATACATATACGGAGGGATAAACAAAAGTTCGGTTAATTGACCAGAAACAAATTTTTTTGTGGTCATTCCTTTGTCCTTTTATAATTTCACTGCAAAATCACATTTGATTTCGATGCTTTTCTAAAGCCTAAAGATCCACTTCTGAAAATAGTCTTCAAAATCTTACTTTTAAGCTTATCAAGTTCGGCGCTAACCGCATTGAATTTCTCGTCGTTGTTATTAGCACCTTTCCTTTTAAGTTTTCTTTATTTTTTGGAAACTACCAGAAATCAGAAGGTGCTATACCCAGGTAATATGGTGCTGGATGTATTCCTTCGATACCAGAGCTCGCAATAAAACTACTCCTTATTTCAGCGGTGGGATGGCGCGTTGTCATGACACCAGAAAAGACAAACACGCCATATTACGCAATTTTTCTTTGATAAAGGAAAAATGTAAGTCAGACAGCTGAGATAATCCTTATACTGATACTGGAACAGTCAGTCATGTTGTTGTATCACATGATTTAATGAGAACAAATTTCGTCTTAGAATCACTGCTGAATTGTAACAAATTCGACCCCTCTCTGAGCTGGTGGTGACTGTCGATTAAAGGCTGATAAGTTACAGCAATGTCGAACGAACACGTTCGTGGTTGAAGGACACTAAACCATCATAACTGATCTCCAAGCCAGAATTTACAGCCAGTAAGGTTTTGATGGGTGCTTAGAAGAACTGGCAAGGAATCATTCACTATGAGCTGCTCTTCGGCGGCCAAACGCCAAATTTGTACATGTACTGTACGCAATTGAACCATTTGAAAGGAGCAATGGTGTTGCGTCAGGAAAACGCCAGACTACCCACGACGATGATAACTCACCAGAAGCTCAGAGAACTTGGTTCGGAGGTTTTTTTGCCTGCACCTAATAGTTCGGTTCACGCACAAAGCTATTCTTGTCTATTGCGAATGATTTGCCTGGTGAAGAATTTTCCTTATGCGAAGACTGTGACAAGAGTTTCTATGAGAAAGGCACAATGGTATTACTCTTAAAATACAAAAAGTTATCGAGCAAAATACTTTATATAGTAAATTAAATTCTTAGTCTAATGCAAAAATACGGAATTATTTTTGTTAGATTGGGAAATATTCGGAAAATTTTATCAGCATATAATGCATTTTATTTGCAAAAAATGAACACTCTTCAAGTGAGCAAGTGTCAAATTTCTGCATTCCCATTTTTTTCTCCAATTTCTTGTTGTCCCCATTGCTTGGCAGAACTCCCTGTTCCAATTTTATTCTCTGTAATATGTTAATAACTAACTTTTTTATTTAATATTCTACTGTTTACCGTTCACTAGCCATAACAATTTAATATCAAAATAAAAACCACTCAGAGTTTAAGCCATTTACGTGGATTATTATTAAATATTTAATATGGTGTCATTGTAATGCATGTATGAAGGTATATTCACACATATACATACACTCCACTCATGTATGTATATAAACATTACAATTTATGGGTATAAATACCCGTATAAAGGCAACAAATTGATATAAAGCAATCACGCTAACAATTTTCATTCAATTACTTGTAACAATCCATTCAAATATCCATCACCAGCATACACCTTCACACACATGCCGCACATGCCGCAGACACAGTCAATCACTCATAAATGCTGTAAAAAAGAAAACGAAGAAATCACATCAACATCGATTGCTGATGATTTAATTTTTATGAAATAAATGCAAATGAATTATGTTTTTTCTTTCAAATTTATTAAACGAATTAACGAAATGTGCACATTTTTCTTTCTTTACCATCAATGGCAGGTGAAAATCTTTGTATGTACGAGTACACATGGGAGTATGTGATGTGCTAACACAAGCGCATGTACTTATTTGAAGTAATCGTATTATAATATGAAGCTTACATGGTTTATACTTAAAAAAAAATCT